GCAGCGCTGCTGGTTTCGAAAACAACCTCGCTAGCTGAAAGCGCTGAAAGCGTCAGGCGCGATTTGCCATGAGTCTTTGACCCTTATACAGGATAGTTGTGCTGAGAGTTTCACATGTCAGGTTATCGAAAGATTTAATTGAATGACTGATAAATCAGCTATTTTGGAGATATCCAGAATCTTGAGGCCAAAAATCATTGTATTCCCTGGGCAGAGAGTTTACAATTCTGTTTCCAGCGTTGCATCTGACATCTCCCGCAGGATCCCTTTGGGAACTATGTCGTACAATATGTTTTAGGCCTTCATGATCCTCAGGCCGCCTGACTGCACAACGTTTTTTTGGGGTTCGGATAGGTTCGACCTGGCGGGCTCAGAATGTTCGGACGGGGTCAGAACTAGCCACTTGGCGGTGTCCAAAAAAAACGGAGATCCCAACTTGCCATGTGCCTACCATGTGCCCACCATGAGGCCAGCACGATGATTGTGAACGCCATGATGGGCAGATTGCATGCAGATCACTCAGCTGCCGGAAATCGTTCGTCATTTTGAGCCAGAATTATTGGATTTTTAGTCCCATGTTAAACAAAGGAAGATAAGGAAGGTTGGCTATATCCGAGTGGCCATTGTTGGTTGTACCATCTGGTTATTTAACAGAGCCATGGGAAATGGCCCATAGAAATAGATGGTTTACCGCTTAAAAATGGTGATTTTCCATGGCTATGTTAAATAACCAGATTGTAGATATTCTTGGTAATATCGGAATGCTTATATTCCAACTCATCCAGATTTCTCATCGGGTGATCTGTGAGACGACGTGCATACACGCACACATGCACATTTATGGATATGAAAGTGGAAGATAACGGAAAACAATGTTGGATGATGAGCATCCTGATTTTTGTTCACCATATCGAGTCATACTAAATCTAAATCATAGTTCTGCATATTTCTCATCAACCAATCTCTTTGTATTGATTTAAGGGAAAATCTACAGGAAAGACATGGAAACACTATATAAATCTATATAACTATAATATATGTCATGGGAAATAGTGTGCTTAATGTAGTGTCGCCGCGGTTGCAGTTGTAGCCGTAGTATGGTGTCATTAGTGTAGTGTAGTGGAGTGTCTTGGATTGTAGTGTAGCGCAGTGTTCTGTAGTGTTGTGTCCTCCTGTGTGGTATGGTGTAGTGTAGTCTAATGTAGTGCAACGTAGTCTATATTGTTGGATGTTTGACTTCTTCCATTGTTTCAAGCACTGCCAGTTACACAACTGATTGTTAAGGACGCCGGACCATACATCAAAAAAAGTGAACAAGTCGATATAGAATTGCCATCTATTCAATCTATTCCGAACAGTAGACCACTACCAATGGGTCAGTGCACCACCATGTTGGACAGACCTGTTGCATGCAGCCCAATACCATTTTTTCTGGGAATTTTAACAGGTTAACACCACCAACAGTTCACGGGTCACTGCTTCAGGTCCCCCTGCAGATTGTCATGGAGTTCCCTGGCAACTGCGTGGTGAGCAGCTTCAACCTTCACTTCGTTGCTAAACAGCAGGCAGGGCCAGGCCAGATGACAACACATGTAATATGTGCACCAGTAGTATCTTTGGGTCAGTAAGCCTCGCTAGCTGAAAGCGCTGAAAGCGTCAGGTGCGATTTGCCATGAGTCTTTGACCCTTATACAGGATAGTTGTGCTGAGAGTTTCACCTGTCAGGTTATCGAAAGATTTAATTGAATGACTGATAAATCAGCTATTTTGGAGATATCCAGAATCTTGAGGCCAAAAATCATTGTATTCCCTGGGCAGAGAGTTTACAATTCTGTTTCCAGCGTTGCATCTGACATCTCCCGCAGGATCCCTTTGGGAACTATGTCGTACAATATGTTTTAGGCCTTCATGATCCTCAGGCCGCCTGACTGCACAACGTTTTTTTGGGGTTCGGATAGGTTCGACCTGGCGGGCTCAGAATGTTCGGACGGGGTCAGAACTAGCCACTTGGCGGTGTCCAAAAAAAACGGAGATCCCAACTTGCCATGTGCCTACCATGTGCCCACCATGAGGCCAGCACGATGATTGTGAACGCCATGATGGGCAGATTGCATACAGATTACTCAGCTGCCGGAAATCGTTCGTCATTTTGAGCCAGAATTATTGGATTTTTAGTCCCATGTTAAACAAAGGAAGATAAGGAAGGTTGGCTATATCCGAGTGGCCATTGTTGGTTGTACCATCTGGTTATTTAACAGAGCCATGGGAAATGGCCCATAGAAATAGATGGTTTACCGCTTAAAAATGGTGATTTTCCATGGCTATGTTAAATAACCAGATTGTAGATATTCTTGGTAATATCAGAATGCTTATATTCCAACTCATTCAGATTTCTCATCGGGTGATCTGTGAGACGACGTGCATACACGCACACATGCACATTTATGGATATGAAAGTGGAAGATAACGGAAAACAATGATGGATGATGAGCATCCTGATTTTTGTTCACCATATCGAGTCATACTAAATCTAAATCATAGTTCTGCATATTTCTCATCAACCAATCTCTTTGTATTGATTTAAGGGAAAATCGACAGGAAAGACATGGAAACACTATATAAATCTATATAACTATAATATATGTCATGGGAAATAGTGTGCTTAATGTAGTGTCGCCGCGGTTGCAGTTGTAGCCGTAGTATGGTGTCATTAGTGTAGTGTAGTGGAGTGTCTTGGATTGTAGTGTAGCGCAGTGTTCTGTAGTGTTGTGTCCTCCTGTGTGGTATGGTGTAGTGTAGTCTAATGTAGTGCAACGTAGTCTATATTGTTGGATGTTTGACTTCGAGACTGAAATCCATGTCTTCCTTCTGTTTGTGGGGGCGGAATCCAGGGCAGGCCTTCAGCTTGCGGCAAACGGGGGGTGGTGTGCATTGGTCACGACGCGGGGTTTGCTGAAATTGAGCAATCCCGCAGGACCCAAATTCATCCAGGAGAGTCATAAACGCCATGTTCCTTAACGTGAAGATGTAACTATGGAAAATCCCCAATTTTAATTGGGCAAATCGTTATTGACGATTATTGACGGACCATTTTCCATAGTTATCTTGCCAGATGGGTACGAAAAGGATGGGCCATTTGTGGTGTCACGGGGTCTGCGGACTCGACTCCAAACGGTGTTTCAATCGTCAGCGATGCATCCGTCCAGTCGCGGGGCAGGATTGCTGAATGCGGTGCTCGGATCAGAAAATCCGTTGTGCGGTGGCACAGCGGAGAAGTCTCCCAGGGATCTGTTGGATCTTGTGTAGCTTTTTTGTATTAGGATGACATAGCTGGAAACACTGATGTTCTTGCCATACTTCATGGTGATGGTGGGGATGGCGATGTGGTCCATCGCCAATCAGCAGCTTGGAAGCACGATTTGATTTGAGAGTGGTGTCTACCCGCAATGCATCCATCTATCCATCCATCTATCATCCCAGCGATCCATCTGCCTATCTACCTATCAATCAATCGGTCTATCTATCTATCTATCTACCTATCTATCTATCTTTCTATGTATCTATGTATCTATGTCTCCATGTATCTATGTATCTATGTATCTATCTAATTCTATCTATCCATCTATCTATCTATTTATCTATCTATCTTTCTAAGACCCTTATATGCATTTGTAAGTTCAGACCTAGGTACCTAGCTAAGCTGCAAGACATGGTAGTGGTTGCGTTTACATCCTGTGTTGTAAACCCGATGATTATGGATGTTGGTAAAAGGTGGTCACAGAGTCATGGATTCATGAGATCTTCGATTTATCAATATCACGTCACGGTTACCCGTGGAGATTTTTGAAAGCAGTACGTGATGTAGGGTTTCTCCCCATGTTAGGAAATTCTGTGACACCATTTTGAATCATAGAATGTGGGAACGTATATTATTGGACACCGTTTCCATATATAATCATGTGTGTCAGTGTGTGTGTGTGCAAATATATATATATATATTTATATTTATATATAGATCTTTATTTTCATAAATCATCTGATCTTCCCCTTTCATTGTTTCGTGGGTGAATCCCCATGATCGTACGAGTGGAACTTCACTGCCTATGACTTAAATGATGTTAAGCACAAGCCTGATGTGGCCAGGCGCATGGAACGGTGAAAGCCATCTTCTAATATGAAGATCCCGACTTGCCGCGAACATGCAGAGCTTGTAGTCGAAAATGAGCAGGAAGCTGTTACCTTTGAAGGGGTGGAAGGCTGGGAGCCATAGGTTGTTCGTGCGCACCAGGTTTGCAGGTGTGAACGTAGGTTTGCAAATGGTGACACCTGCTAAGACGCGTGGGGTATATGAAATTGTATGTGCTTTGTGTCCGTCTGAGATGCTAGATTGGGTGAGCTATCCTCACATGACTAGATTGGGTGAGCTGGTTACCAACCAACGCCAGCTGTCAGAGCACTGTACAACTATATGCCCAAGCAAACAAACGTTGGTAAAGAAATAAGTGCAAGGTCAGGCGCCCTTTTGTCTATAAGTTGGTCAAAACCACAGTGGAAAAAAAGGGCGCATGTGGTAAGTTAGACGTTTTGGACCCAAGGACTTGAAACAGGCAAGCATTCGAGAATCCAGAGGTAAGCATGCTCTCTTTCATTGAGAAAAATGAAATGAACTTTCCTGAGGCCAACCCATGGTGCGAAATTCGTTGCTGTGTCGAAAGAAAATATTTGTTATTGAGGATTCCAAGTCGCTTTGAGATGGGTTCGTCCAAGAGTGACTTTGTTTTACACGGTTTATTGATAGCGCCTCCAAACTTGACCCGTTAGGCTTGGCACGGGTTTCTGCAAGCTTGGTAGAAGGGTCGTTGTCTGCGCGCGCGTGTGTGTAAGTGTGTGTGTGTGTGCGTGTGTGCGTGCATGTGCATGTGCGTTGTCATTGTTGAAAGCCTGAAGAGCGGAAATACGGTTTCATCCCACGAAGCAAGGGCTCAAGAGCATCAGCAGCGATGCAACAGGAGCCCACAGTGGCATGTGGCCTTCCATGCGGGCCCAAAATGCATGCGGCCTTCCATGCGGGCGGTAAATGCATGCGGCCTTCCGTGCGGGCGGACAATGCACGAGGTGCCGAATGGTGCTTACTGAACCCTACGGGGCGCCCCTATGAGGCTTTCGTTGCTGCAGAAGTTGCTGTTTTTGTTTTCTTTGGTGTCGCGTTTTTTACCGTTGTCGGTCTTTTTGCTCTTGTCGCCGTTGTTGATGTTGTTGTCGTTATTGATGTGGTTGTAGCTGTGGATGGTGCTGTCAGTGTTGTCATTGTTGTGATCGTTGTCCTTGTTGTGACTGTTGTTGTTCGTGTTGTTGTTGTTGTTGTTGTTGTTGTTGTTGTTGTTGTTGCCCATCTCCTCGGCGTCGTTGGCATCGATGCCGACGTCGTCGTGGGCGGGGGCAACGACGCTGGCGCCGGCGTGCGTGTTGGCTTCGTCCTTGTCGTCGGCGATGGTGCCCTTTTTCTTTTTGGTGTTGTTAAGTTACAGCAACTTCTGCAGCAACGGGAGTCTCCAACAAATACCCGGGTTGAATCAGAAAGCATCATTCGGCACCTCGTGCATTTGCAGGCCGCCGGGAAGGCCGCATGCATAGACCGCCCACGTGGTAGCGCGCATGCAGTTTGCGCCCGCATGGAAGGCCTCATGCCATTATGGGCGCGTTCTGCAGCGCTGCCGAGCCTGTGGTGTCTTGGTGATACTGTTATTGTTGGTGTGTGCGAGTCTGTTTTTGTCTTGGTTGCTGCTGTTGTTGTTCTTCTTGTTGTTGTTGGTGTTGTTGTTGTTGTTCTTCTTCTTGTTGTTGTTGTTGTTCTTGTTGTTGTTGCTGTTGTTGTTGTTGTTCTTCTTGTTGTTGTTCTTCTTCTTCTTGTTGTTGTTGTTGTTGTTGTTGTTGCTGTTGTTGTTCTCGCTGCCGCTGCCGCTGCTGCTGTACTAGTTCTTGCAGAGCGAAGACAATCGTCAAGTTGCGCAGCTCCGAAAAGCGTCTCACAGGGGCACTGGTTTGACCCGCCGTGGGCAGAATTCGACCGCGTCAAACTGTCACCCGTGCAGCGGCCTGCGTATGCACACCACCTGCGCGTGGAGCTGCGTGCGCATTGGGCTGGCACGGTCGGAGCATGGCTGATCGCGGTAGGCACCAGTACCAGCGGAATCAGCAATGACATTCGCACTGCCGCCCGTCGGAAGTTGCAAAGTTGTATATGCAATCGGACAGCTGCAGGGCACAAAGTGCGGAGACGATTCTGCGGCGGTGGCCCGCCACCAGGCATCAGGGATCTGGTCGCTGGAATCTGTTTGTCCGTGTTACAAGACGAGGAGGAAGTGAGAACAGTGTTTGACCAATCTTGGATTGAGTCCTGGCACGGATGGGAGGATATGGAAGCAGATGGGTCGGACAGTGTTGCCATGAACGTCGCCGAGCGGTTGTTGCGCATTGCTGGTGCCAATGTACCCACAAAGATGACGACAAATGCGGATCGATTGCGAGAACTGGCGCAGCAAGACTTGCACCTGAAAATCGCATCCTCGCACGGTGAGAATAATTGCCTCATCGACTCCCTTTTATTGGGCCTCATGATGATAGGTGTGAGCCCGCGACAATATACTGTGGAAGAGCGCAAAGAACTATGTGCCAGATGTCGCACTGACTTGCATCGGCGACACAAGGTCCCTTTGAGAGTGTACCTGGACGGTCACCGGGATACGCCGCGCATACTTGAATTCTTCTTGCGGAAAGAATGGGCGATAGACATTTCGGTTCGAGTCTTCTTTTATGATTGCTTGCCGGCATCCGAGTTGGGTGAAGCAGGTCAGGAATTATCCCATGTGGATTTCACATGGGGTGACCGGTGCATTTACGAACGCCACGTATTGCACGTCTACAATCACATTGCTCCAACGGGGCAAGGATATCATTTTGATGCTTTGTTGCAAACGCCACAACAAGAGAACGCACAAAGTGCGACTGGAAACCGGCTTCCGGCTTGCAGCCAAGAGCCGACATGGCGGACACTGAGTGCAGCGAAGCAGGAAGCGTTTAGGGCTCGCTTACTGTCATGGTCGTACACCGTGAAAACACTGGACGCAACATTGCAGGAAGATTGGGTGGAGACATGGAGCGGTTGGGAGAAGCTTACAACGGCAGACGAGAAAGAATGCGAAAAATTGGCCGCAGAATTCTGCAGGGTCGCTCGGAACCATGCGCGAAAGGAAGTGCCAGAAGCAGCCGACGCATCAAGGCATGCGACGACTTTGAGCGCCACGCAAGTGAAAGCGCTCCTTCAGAGTTTCTTACAAGCTCGTGCGGCGTACCTTCAAGTAACCTTAGCAGATGCAGAGGATGTATTGGCTTGCGGGCATAACCGGGAGGCTTTAGCATTGAAATTGCATACCTTGCTGCAAGCAGGGGTGACATATGCTGACTCAGGAATGCATGCCGCACGACGTTTGGTTGGCCAATGGCATGCATACTACACCTCATGCACTCAAGGCAATGGCCGAAGACTAGGTGAAACGCCAAGCGCAGAAAACGCAGCAAACGTGAATACGCAAGCCATGTCCGCAGGCCAACATGACGGAAGCAACGCCGGCAGCCGACAAGAAACAGGTGCACCAGGGGGAGAAGCACGCAAGCGGCCGCTGGCCGAGGCTACGGGCACGCCACCGAAACGGTTGCGAGGAAAACAGCCCCCGCCAAAGCAGGATCGAACATGTGCCAACGCTTTGGAGCCTTCCGACACCGCGTTAGAAGGAGACGAATACATTTTGCGGGAGTGGCGCGCTAGCCATGGAAACCCTGATCCCCGTGCGAAACAGGACATGGCGCTGGAAGCCTTAGGAAAACACTTTCGGCAGAAGCCCACGTTGCCAGAGTGGATGGTTGCCGACATGCAAGGTGCAGCGTTCGATTTAGCAGAGTATACATGTGCTTTCCACGGCTGTCCGTTTGCGTCGGAACAAATCCACGATTTTGAACGGCATCTTCGTGAGCAGCATAGTTGTGTCCTGGAACCCGTCGCAGCCCAATCCCCAGCCAGAGCAAATCTTTTGGAAGCATACAGAGCTGGACTAACATGGGCGTGCCAGCAAAATGCACCGACAGCGCGCATTGCCATTGATCGACGATGCTTACGAAAGTATCGTGAAGCACAGCGCGGTGATAAAGTTGGTGCGGCGATCTGTTTTTTCTGCGCGCGCCGCTTCCCGTATACGAATGCTATGAGCCACGGGGACCAAATACAATGGAAGCAGATAGCTGGGAAAACGCATTTATGCGGCTTGTCCTTGGCGGAAACTCAAAGCCTGCTGGGTTTTCAAACTTATTGGAGCACGTACGTGTCGCAACAGAGCGAAAGAGTGCAAGAACGAATACGGACCGAGCTACGGGATTGGTGCGCTGACGTGACCATCGACGAGCAAACTGTCTCAATAATATGTTGCCCTGAAGACAAGCTTTGCGAAAGACGTTGCCCGGCTGGTCGCATCTGCTCTTCATGTCGTGCACCGGTGTGCCTGCACTGCTGGGAACGCCTCCGGACAAAACAAGTCTCCAGTCTTACGTTGGCCAACGACATGTTGGTGTTCTACACACCGCGCTTGATATACAGGGAAGAGGTGACTTTCATGGAATTAGTGTGCGCCAGCCCGTGTTTTACAGCCATGGCTTGCTTCAGTTTGGAGAAGAAACTTTTGGGGGAACGGGCTATGGATCAAGATGCCTTCATGAATCGCAATCGTTTAGTGGCCCGCGGAAATGCAACCACATTTCCATTGGCGTGGGAAGACCTGCTGCAGAACTTACAAGCAGCATCCACCGAAGAGGCCGCAGGGCAACTACGAGTACCGAAAGTGGGCGCTGAGCTCGCCGCCGTTGTCAACGTCATCATCAAGGCCGGTGGACCTTTGTCCGACGGCGGCGACGCTGCTAAGGTCATTCACCAAGCGCGCGCGTACGTCGCAAGGTTGTGTTGCAGCTTATCGCCGATGCCAAAGAGCGGGATCATCCAGCCTATCGCAGGGTTTGCATGCGTGAAGCCTTGCAACGGGCAGAAGCCTTGCCGGAAGACGGCGTCCCAGCGGAAATCGTCGCGTGGCTGCCGCACGACAGCGACTTAGACGATGTGCAGCGCCAGAAGGCCGCGACGCCTACCCGGGCCATGTTGACGCAGGAAGAATTGCACGCAGAGTTTGCGTACATGTGCAAGCCCAACGCAGTAGTGGGCGAGCGCACGACCTGCGGGGCTGGGGACATCAATGCAGCGCACGTGGCCGCCTTGCGGGCGGCGGCCGACCAGCACCAGGCATCCAGCAGTGAAACCAAAACCGCTGCCATTTACACCGGCAATCGATTGTTGGATCAGTTCGAGCCGTGGTACTTTGCGTTTGCTTTTGCATTTCTGTTTCCGTACGGCAGTGGGCTGCCGGACCCACCCAGCTGGAGCGACAAACCGCGCTATCGGCGCCCTCCGGACGCAGAGCGCGTTGAATTTCAAGCCTGGATGCGTTGCATGGCACGGCGCTGCGAGTCGCAGATCAACCGGGATTGGACATTCGGATTCACAGCATGGAATTTATTTTTTCGGTCTGCCCTTAATTTGTCACGCACCTTATCGCCATACAATGCGCCAATCTTCGACGAAACGCAGCAGCGCTTTCGCCCGTTACAGGGGGAAGAGATAGAGGCCGGTGCGCAGCAATTGCTTCATGCGTTGAGCGGCGTCTATGCCGACGTCCGAGGCAACCCGCGACCTGTGAACGGGGACATTTCCAAACTTGCTTACGTTCGACATCTGCGCCCGGCGGCACGCAAGCTGTTGAAAAATATGCGGCATACAGCCCGTGGCCTCCCCGGCACACAAGAAGCGAGACGACAAATGCGATTTGAAATTGAAGCCATGCGTATCCGATATGGGGTGCCATTGTTTATCACCGTTTCGCCGGATGAGGCGCACCAATGGCTTTTCATTCGGATGTCGCGGACCCGCTGCTCGGATCCAGTCCGAGCGGCTTCTGTTTGGCAAGAATGGACTTCAGGGGATCGGGGTTTCCCCCCACTCGACGACGGGATATCGTTTCCAATTCACCTCGAAACATTCCGACGTGCGCTGCCAGCTTGGCAGCAACGACGCACGCTGCTGGCCCGGGATCCTTTGGCTTCGGTCGATGGCTTTCACACTTTGCTGCGCCTTCTGTGTCAACACATCTTTGGCATATCTATGTGTGACCAATGTCCCGACTGTGACAAGACTGAGCATCCATGCGGAGATTCCTTCGGCAGCAGCGCAACTTTGTCCGGTGGCGCGTTTGGGCGGGTCGATGCCATTTATGTAACCATTGAAGCGCAAAAGCCGACTGGATCATTACATGGACACATGCAATGTTTCGTCCAATGCTTGCATCAACATACCCCATTAACAGAAATTTTCCAGCTGCCACAGTGGCGATTGGAAGCTTTACGGGAAGAGTACTGTAAGTATCAGGCTCATGTAGCACACGCCGAATACAGCGGGCAAGAAGAGGCAGGCATTCGAGAAGGCATAGCCGCAGCAGAGAGCACATGGCCGGAGCATACGCAGGATGCGGTGATGGCAGCGCTTCCGGCTTATCAGACGCGACGGGCACAAACCGCCAAAGATTTGGCAGAGGCCGAAATCTGGCGGCAAGAATATCTGGAATGCGATGTCGTCGCCTTGCAGTATTTGAAGCAACATCATTATCACCCTATCAGCGCCGAAACGGGCGAGCGCGTGCCTCTGCGAGGATGCCAGAAGAAAGAGAACATGGGGGTGTGCAAAGCAGAGTTTCCACGCGACGACTGGCTTTGTAACGTTGCGAAAGTGTTGTGTCCGTGCCAGCTTCAACACCATGGCTTCACTCAAACCGGTCGCAAAAATCGACTGGGGGCTTTACATGGTCCATATGGGCACCCGTATTTGAATCCGTGCCACCCAGCACTGTTGGCAAGCATGCGTGGCGGGAATAATGATGTCCAGGTGCCTTACAGGCTCCCGTACGCTTGTCCCACATGTGGCCTCTCCTTGTCCACGCAGGAAAAACAAATGATCGCGTTGGCGGCGCAGAGGGCCCAAGATGCGCAAACAGGGTATTGCAGTGATTATTGTTCCAAAAATCAACCAATGGGCTTCCACGAGATCAAGGAATTTCAAAAAGGTCACATCGCCTTGCATGCCACGCTGAAGCAAGCAGATGTGGACCAGATTGGCAAAAGACACGCGAACCGTTTTTTGAGTGACGCCTATTGCAAAGGCCTTGCGCGTGGTCAAGTGGAATGTTGCAACCTGCGTGCAAACCACGTGGATGGGTCGATTGTCGCCGCCGAACGTCTCTCCACGTGCGGTTTCACCATGTTTCCTGGGCACGTCTATTTGCAGCTGCTGGAAGGACTGGACGGAAAAACGGCTGGGCCGAATACAGCATATGTCCGCACGCGCAAAGCGCCAGGCTCAGGAGCGCAGCATCTGCGGGAAGCGGTGACTGGACAAGCATACAGTCACCGGCCTTCGGACTCCGAGTGCTGGTGGCTGTCCCCATATGAATTCACTATGCATTGGGAACTGGTTCCAGCGCGCATCCCGCATTCACGCGCTGAGTGGGAAGCAGCCACTCCCGAGGCCTGGGATGTGGCACTCACGCCCGCCGGCGCACAAAAATTGGTAGCTGGCCCGCTGCATGCCGCCGCAAAGTTGAAGCCGAGTACGGATTACCGGTTGAAAGTGTTCCCTTCCGGCGACCGTGTCTACTTCGCTGCGACCGCAGCCACCGCAACACTCCGGCACAACTGGTATTTGCAACGCCGCGCCCGTCCACGGTGTCCTCATTTCGCTAACGCTCCTGTGCCACAGCGCTGGGCCGACAAGGCCGACGGGAACGCTCGCTTAACGTGCGTGTATTTCCGCGCGTGGACGTTGGACATGACGCGGGCCACAGTACACGTGCCACATTTGAGCCACTTGTTGGGAGCGAATGACTCCTGGGAAGATGCCCTGCGAGAATGGCTGCTTCGGCTCCCGTGTGCGGAAACCAAGCGCCACGTCGGCAATTTTTTGTCAGTTTATCGTGTTCGGCCGAGTGCCGAAGCAGATGCGAACAGTGATGACGACGGCGTCGACGAACTGTTGGCGCTGCGCCCAGCCGATGTGACCGCAGCTCTGCGCACGCTGTGCCCAGCGCAGAAGGCAGCCAGCAACAAAGCGGCGAACGATGACCGAGCGCACCGGGTTGAGTCGGCAATGAACACCGCAGATGTGTTGTGGGGAGCAAGACCGCATGGAGACAGAACTCTGGCGACGGACACGCTGTATGCAGTACTGGATCCGAAAGCAGCGCACCAGGCGGCGCGGAAACGAACGGACGGCGCCGGAACTTGCATGCCATCGGCGCCACTTCCCAGCTCCGTTGCGGTTTGGTCTGGCGCAGCCGTCGCAAATGTGCAGCAGTGGGTCGCGCGCTTGCCCCAAGGGCCCTGTAATGAAGAGCAACGCCACTTTTGCAAGCTGGTGGCGACGCGCGTCGAAACAGAGCTGGCAGCCAGCACCTGCGATGCGCGGTCTGGCAATGTTGATGCCGAAACATTTCGTTGGGTCTTACACGGTGGCCCTGGCACTGGAAAATCGCATACACTGAAATATCTTCGTCACGAATTGTTCGAAAACGTGTTGGGATGGAAGCACGAGGTCGACTTCCAGATCGTGAGTTTTCAAGCTGTTATGGCTGAACTTCTGGATGGCGACACGATACACCACGCGCTGGGTCTCGACTGGTCGGGTGACAGAACCCAAAGCTTAATCCGAGCCATGGAATGTGCGGGTCGCAGCCTGCAATGGCGATGGTTGATTCTGGACGAATTCAGCATGGTTAGTGCAGAATTGCTGGCGCAGCTGGAACTTCGGTGCCGCGAGCTGTTGCGGGACCTCAGCATGGCCAAGTATGACCGCGACGGAAAAATCCGGCCCTTTGGCGGTTTGAACGTGATTTTAGCGGGAGATCTGTACCAGCTGCCACCCCCAAAAGGAACGTTTCTGGGAGATATCCCCTGGGATTTGTTGGCCGGACGCAAAAGCACACGGCAGGCACCCGGACATCAGGGCCAAACCCTTCTTTGGGGCAGCCCCACAGCAGGCATGCAAGGTGTTACGGAATTGGTGCGCTGTGAGCGCACACAAGACGCTTGGCTAGCGGAACTTCAAGGACAGCTCCGTCATGGGCAGCTATCTGACGATAACCATAAGTTTTTGCACGGCAAGCCCACAACGGTGCCAGGAAGCTGGATTGCTGGGCACGCAACGTGTCAACGACCTGCTTGCGCCGCTTTAATCACGCAAGGTTTGTCTCCAGAAGCCATTCAACTGGCCGAATGCGACACGTGTGCGACTGATCGCCGCTCGCGTATACTTGTCGCCCAAGGCGATGCGGACAGTCGGTTTCAGAACGAGTTCAGCGATGCAGTTGCAATCTTCGGCACAAATGACATCAAATATCACGTCAACAAGGTCCGCGCCCTCCAATGGGCAAACGCCCGAGGACACCTACCGTATTTATTTGTGGCACGCGATCTTGCTTCGGCAGCGGTCCTCCAAGAAAAGCCGAATCTGACGGCCGAGAAATTGCAGTGGTTGCAGCGACACGACAAAGAATGCGGTGGGCTGTATGGCGTCTTGCCGCTGTGCGTGGGCATGCCTGTTCGGGCCACAGACCACCTAGACCGCAAGCGTGGAATCCTGAAAGGCACCAAGGGCTATGTAGTCGGTTGGTCTGCGATTGCCGATGCGACACCTGCACCCGAAGGAATGGTGTGCAACAACTTGCCGGCCGTGGTATACGTGAAGTTTGACACCGCCACGTCGTGGCAAATATCCGGTGTCCCGGACGCAAACGTCTACCCAGTTGTGACCTGCAGGCGCGTGTGGTACTTGGACCGGCAACGTCGAAGCCCCAAGCTCCGTGTCTCACGCACCCAATTCCCGCTGGCGCCGCAGTTTGCTATCACAGCGCATGTCGCACAAGGCCAAACCATCAAGGAAGGCGTGACGACAGATCTTTGCATAGGGCCAAGGGGAAATCCATTTACCGTCTACGTCGCCATTACCCGCGTGCAAGGCCGTGAGAAGCTCCTGATCTTTCGACCTTTTGACGCCGCTCCATTCCAGAAAGGTATTGGTTTAGGGCGGGACCTGCTGCTCCGACATCTTCGCAGGGAACCGATCAATTGGCAGGACTTGCTGGCCAAATATTGTGAAGAACGCGCGTGTTCAACCTGCGCAGAGCGCAAGCCATCTACAGCTTTCACCGCTGGCCAGTGGAAGCGCGACGACAAAGATCGCGTTTGTCGCGAATGCACAAAGCATTACGCAGATGCCGGGACGCCATGGCAATGCAACGTGTGCAAGCTGTGGCATGTCGAGACCAATTTTCCGGAAAAGCACCGCCAACGGCAATGTAGTTTTTTCCGTGTGTGTTTGACATGTGAAATGAAGAAACCGTGTTTCAAATGTGGCGTTGCAAAACCGGAAGCCGAATTTGGACCGGCCGCATGGAAAGCTCGCAACGCGGACCGCCGCTGCTGCAGAGAATGTACCACCAAACAGCGGGGGTGTTGGCAATGTTCCCAGTGCAGCGAACGCAAGCCACGAGCAGAGTTCACAGCTTGGCAGCAAAGTCGGAAACATGCGCAGAATGGTACACAAGTATGCAATGCATGCACAGCCTTTGCCTTCGTGTGTCGTCTTGCTCATCGCACGAATCAACGCTTGGCCCGCTTGCGCCAACGCGAATCCCGTCAACGACACGAAGCAATCCTAGCAGACGTTTGCAAGGAGATTCAGAAAATCCACGAGGCTAGACAAACGTCGATGGGAACAGACGAAACCAGAACGGGTGTTGCCCATTCATCGACCCAGCAGCTTGCTGCGGAGCCCGACACAGCGACGCCGCGGGTGTACACATACCTCTGCCCGCATTGCGCCAAATCTGTGCAAAGCACTGTGGCAACAGGGCAAGTCTATCACCGCCGCGGTGATGGCTGCGGCAAAAAATTTTGCGTTGCGAATGGCCTGCTTGCAGGCCGTACACTTGCGCACACATGTCCAACATGCGGCACAGTGGTGCATTCAACAAAAGCTTCCGGTCAAATTCAAATAACGCATCGCACGCCCAACGGAAAGCAGTGTCGCACCGACCGATGGCCCGTGCAGAACTGATCACAAACGGAGCCTTCACCAAACAACAGAACCCTGCGCGCTCGCCACGCCGAAACAGGAGGGCCCTGAAGGACAGACCGGGCCTGCAGGCCACCGCCCTCAGTGCCTAACGTCGCTTTCTGCACCTACAAGAAAACTAACTCTCTTAGCTGTCTTCCAGCCGCCAAGGCTCAAACACGGCGCGCTCGCCACACCGAAACAGCAGGGCCCTGAGGGACGGACCGGGCCTGCGGGCCACGGCCGCCACGACCTGTCTTCCAGCCGGCAAGGCTCACACAGGGCGCGCTCGCCACACCGAAACAGCAGGGCCCTGAGGGACGGACGGGGCCTGCGGGCCACGGCCCCCACTGCCTAACGTTGCTTTCTGAACCTACAAGAAAACAAGCTGTCTGACCTAAAACGGCGCCTCCGCCACAGCCAAACAGCAAGGCCCTGAGGGACGGACCGGGCCTACGGGCCACGGCCCCCAGTGCCGAACGTTGCTTTCTGCACCTACAAGAAAACTAACTCTCTTAGCTGTCTTCCAGCCGCCAAGGCTCAAACACGGCGCGCTCGCCACACCGAAACAGCAGGGCCCTGAGGGACGGACCGGGCCTGCGGGCCACGGCCCCCACTGCCTAACGTTGCTTTCTGAACCTACAAGAAAGCTAGCTGTCTGACCTGTCTTCCAGCCGCCAAAGCTCACACACGGCGCGATTGCCACGCCAAAACAACAGGATGAGGGACGGACCGGGCCTGCGGGCCACGGCCGCCACGACCTGTCTTCCAGCCGCCAAGGCTCACACAGGGCGCGCTCGCCACACCGAAACAGCAGGGCCCTGAGGGACGGACGGGGCCTGCGGGCCACGGCCCCCACTGCCTAACGTTGCTTTCTGAACCTACAAGAAAGCTAGCTGTCTGACCTGTCTTCCAGCCGCCAAAGCTCACACACGGCGCGATTGCCACGCCAAAACAGCAGGGCCCTGAGGGACGGACCGGGCCTGCGGGCCACGGCCGCCACGACCTGTCTTCCAGCCGCCAAGGCTCACACAGGGCGCGCTCGCCACACCGAAACAGCAGGGCCCTGAGGGACGGACGGGGCCTGCGGGCCACGGCCCCCACTGCCTAACGTTGCTTTCTGAACCTACAAGAAAGCTAGCTGTCTGACCTGTCTTCCAGCCGCCAAAGCTCACACACGGCGCGATTGCCATGCCAAAACAGCAGGTTCTTGAGGGAGCAAGGCCCTGAAGGACGGACCGGGCCTACGGGCCACGGTCCCCAGTGCCGAACGTTGCTTTCTGCACCTACAAGAAAACTAACTCTCTTAGCTGTCTTCCAGCCGCCAAGGCTCAAACACGGCGCGCTCGCCACACCGAAACAGCAGGGCCCTGAGGGACGGACCGGGCCTGCGGGCCATGGCCCCCAGTGCCTAACGTTGCTTTCTGAACCTACAAGAAAGCTAGCTGTCTGACCTGTCTTCCAGCCGCCAAAGCTCACACACGGCGCGATTGCCACGCCAAAACAGCATGCTGGGTCCTGAGGGACGGACCTGGCCTGCGGGCCACGGCCGCCACGACCTGTCTTCCAGCCGCCAAGGCTCACACAGGGCGCGCTCGCCACACCGAAACAGCAGGGCCCTGAGGGACGGACGGGGCCTGCGGGCCACGGCCCCCACTGCCTAACGTTGCTTTCTGAACCTACAAGAAAGCTAGCTGTCTGACCTGTCTTCCAGCCGCCAATGCTCACACACAACGCGATTGTCATGCCAAAACAGCAGGGTCTTGAGGGACGGACCGGGCCTGCGGGCCACGGCCGCCACGACCTGTCTTCCAGCCGCCAAGGCTCACACAGGGCGCGCTCGCCACACCGAAACAGCAGGGCCCTGAGGGACGGACGGGGCCTGCGGGCCACGGCCCCCAGTGCCTAACGTTGCTTTCTGAACCTACAAGAAAGCTAGCTGTCTGACCTGTCTTCCAGCCGCCAACGGCGCGCTCGCCACACCGAAACAGCAGGGCCCTGAGGGACGGATCGGGCCCGCAGCCGGCAGCCCACGGTGCCTAACGTTGCTTTCTGAACTGCCTAGAAACTAGCTTCAAACCTTGCTTTTCCCTGCCTTCCTGCACTGCCAACTGCCACTTTGCCTGCGTCGTCTTGCAGCTCAAACCCAGCTTTTCCCTGCGTTCCTGCACTGCCAACTGCCAACTTGCCTGCATTGTCTGACAGCTGGCTTTCGTGCGGCACAGCTCCGGTCAAGGGACTTCCTCGCAGGGCTAAAACACCATGGCAGTGAAGGACGGATTGGGCCCGCGGCCCGTAGCCCAGAGTGCCAAACATGACTTTCTGTCGCTCGTTTACTCTTGCTTCTGCATTCTTGCTTCTAACTTCTTGTTTCGTGCTTCTTTCGCTTGCTACGTTCGCTGAGACTGCCTCTCCTTTCTCGCTTCCTTTTTTGGGCTTCTTACTCTGCACCTGGCTTCCCTTTCTGTCCCCCCCTCGCTTGCCCCTCACTTGCACTGCACAACACTTGTTGCTTGTAATCTCTTCTCTGACGCGCTCCCCCTGCTGTCGGCAGGGGTCGGCGGATATATATCAACTATTTCAATGGCCATTTTCCAGTTCGCAAACCGTAACAAATTACCAGAGGGTAATCCCATGGTTTATCATGGTTTTCCGTACCGCAGGATGGTGATCACATATCCCATTGTACCACAAATGGACCACAAATGGACCACCATTGTACCACCATTGTACCACCATTGTACCACCATTGTACCTTTCTTATTGTACCACCATTGTACCACCATTGTACCTTTCTTATTGTACCACATCAAACATACATAAAGATCATAAACCATCTTCTTTAGGTCTGTTCCACTTCCACTTCTTCTCAGTGGCCTCCAGGTCACTCCGTGGCTCTGCTGCTTCTTTGCCAATCGCAGGTCTTCCGGGATATGCGACCAACAATGGGTATACAATGTGGGGCCCCCAAACGATAGCTACCTTGGTTTATGATTAGGTTAACTATAGTCCGTTGTATATAATGTGTATATACAATTATTTATATAATTATATATAGTTAGATGGGATTATAAACCAACTAATAACTGGGGGGTCCACATGTTATGAATATATATATGTGTATATATATATATGTATATGTATATTCATTATATATAGATATATGTAATTGTTCTATATGGGTATAACATGATTAGAGACTGTTTGATGATGGTTGTATATGAATATGCAACTGTGCATAAATTCCAGAGTGATGGGCATACTGATTTGGGACGGGCTCCTTCATGCATGAGTTCTTGTGGAAGATCTTTCAACCAAGCATTCTGTGTCGTGGCTGACTAGCTGTTGATGGGATATTCCAACGTCGAACGGTTGATGAAATGTGTCCGAAAATCTCATGTTGGGTTGTATCTCACATTTTTTTTCGACACCGCCGAATGTTATAATATATCAGAATGAGTCAACATGTTGATATATAATATGTGTATATATATCATATATATATATGTAATATAGTATATAACTATATATATATATATAATTATAATATATATATATAATTATAATATATATATATATATATGTATATCCCATCATATCCCCTAAATATCTACATGTTTGGTGAGTTGTATCCATTACGTATCCCTCCTCTTGTCCCGAGATCCTGTCGAGCCGCGACGCCGTGAGGCGCTTAGCCGCCCTGTGGGGGGTGAATGCCTCGGAGGTCTTCCCCAGCGTTCCGGAGCTCAGCGTCGAGAAGAATCCAATGGGATTAATCCATGGGTTCTTATGGTGATTTAATGTCTGGTGATTTATCTGGATTAATTTAATGGTGTAAATCATTTAATGGTGGATTCATTTAATGGTGTAATTTCTGGGATTAATTTAACCATGAAAATCTGGGATTAAATCACCATTTATAGATGATTTTCATGGTAATTTTAATGGGGATTTAATGGGATGTATATAATTATAATGGGATTTAGCCTCTGGTTATAGATGATATATGGTGATTTATGGTGATTTTCATGGTGATTTATGGTGATTTTCATGGTGATTTATGGCGTATGGTGATTTAATGGGATGTTCCATGGGATTTAATGTCTGGTTATAGTGTGTTAAAGTTTGCTATTGAAAATTGCAGACTTATAGTTGATTTATCTGTTAAAGATTGTGATTTTCCATAGCTTTATGTATGTTTACCAGAAGGTATATCTCCTATACTGTCGTTATAATATATGAATATACATACATTGATCTTTCTATGATGATATGATCATTGGTGAATCATATATTTTCATATATTTTCCCTATTGAAATAATTAAATATGACCTTTCCTCTTGATCATTGGTGAATCATGTGGCCTGACCCGGGTTATAAACAACCTGCTAGTCATTGCGGAGTATGAACTCAGAAGCCAATGCACGTGCACTGAACCGCTCTTTGAGGGTGGACTCACAGGCGTTTGCGCCTGAGAGATCCCAAACGGGAGAGTTGAAGGTGCACACCAGACTGTGAAAGAACTGACTGCAGCAAACCTGTTCTTTGTGGAAACCCAGATTTCTCGTCGCATTCCATTGGAATCTTCAATTGTGCCTTTTGCAGTGGAGTTTGCATGTCGGACATACAATGCTTTTCACTGCATGCAGAGTTCAAAGGCAACAGTGCTGGACAGAATGCGAGGCAGGTTGAGCACTCCAAAACCAACCACTCTTCCTTTTGGATGTTTGGCACTAGGCAAACCAGTATCCACCAGTGCATTGCGAGATGAAGAGCGTTTGATTCCTTTTGTCTACTTGGGCCCCATGCTGAGCACCGGAGGTGGCTGTGTAGGAATTGTGGCTCAAGAGGCTCGTTTGGATTTGAGTGAAGAAATCACCAAAGTTCGAAGGTTTCAGACTGCTCGTGCAGTTGTTCCATGCAAATGGTCTTTACCCTCTGGTAATTTAACATAGCTATGGAAAATCACCATTTTTAATGGGAAAATCCACTATAAATGGTC